CATATGTCACTCAGACTGAACAGCGAGCTCTGCTTGGGTCTCGAGCTCATCTTCAAGCACAAGGCGCCGCGCTTGACTTGGCTTGGTGTCTTGTTGTGTTGCTATTTTTTTTTCTGTATCGTCTACGATTTTACACTTTTGTTTGCCAGCATCTTGTCTCCAGGTTTTGATTAATTGGCATTTCGTTTCTGGGTTTGTGGTATTTGTTGGCTGGAGTTCCTGTTCCTGGTTCCTCTAGTTCTCTACATGGCATTTCCAACTATGCTTAATTACTAAATATATACATGATGTGGAAGATCAAGTTAATGCTTTATATTAATGCTTGATATCCCCCTAATTATTCTAAGTTGTGTTTTGAAAATGCACAACCCATGAGACTTACAGCTGACTTACAATAACCTATGCAATGTTAAGATTAATTCATTCATAGCTGTAATATTTCCTCCAGTCCTTTAGGGGGAAGCAGGTTTGCATGGCCATGGATGCCCCTTGACCTTTCTGACCTGGAAGCGCTGCTACATAAACAGCCTGGATGCAGAGCTTGGTTCTCAGTCTTGTCTGTTACTAGTGTCAAGTCTGAAGCCTTTTCATTGTGTTTCATTGCCTCTTTGAACATTCCTTGGTTCCTTATCCCTGGCTTCTTGACCTTCTCTTTGTACTGCCTCTTCTGTTACTTAAGCTTCTCACACCTTGTCTACAGAGCATCCTGTTGGCTGTCCAGTAACTCGAGTGATGGGCAGAACATCTTGTTTGCAGAATCCCAGCAGCGCAGCTGGGGGACACCATGCTAGTCTACAGTAAAAGTAACCAGCCCAATCAAGCAGAGAGCTTGGTTGACACGTTATCCTTCACATGCTGGAGTCCACATTTCCAGAACTAAAAACCACTGCTCCAAATAACCTTGCCCAACTTACCGACATGTAAATGGAAACTAATAGGTCAAATTCACACAAATGATGTTCAATCACTTAGAACAAACTACTTCCCTTACATCTCAAACACACTAACGTAAATGCTCCTCCTTCATAATAATAGCACAATTTACTAGAGTATTTACCGAGCCACAGTTTAAACTCAATAAAAAGTAATTGCCAATGCATAAGGCTGAACATGGTTGTTCACAATTTGCAACAAGGAGGCTGAATCAGACCCATCGAATTTATGAATACAACAACTTTTAAAATATTAATGGAAATAGAGTCACGACCTCCTTCTCTTTAGGCCTGTTTGTCCACCTTGGCTAGACTCTCTTTAATCCCTTGGGGTCTGTCGAAAACCACAGCTCAGAGATCTCCTCTCTGGGATGGACGGAGCCCAGGCCTGGTCTGCTGTTGCCTTGCTGATGCCGTAGTGCCCTGCGTTGGCTGTGCAGCATCCTTGTGTCCCCTCTGCTACCACAGTGATTATGACCTTGTTCTGCAGGGTCACGCAGCACACATTTGGGGGTATAGCTATTAATACACGCACCCGTGAGTCACATTGTTGTTTGCTTACAATTTTGAAAAAAACGTTTAAATTTCTATAAAGGGAACCGTTGAACCTGTTCCAGCGATCAGCATGGCAGTGCCGCGAAAGGTTGTGCGCAGGTTGGAGGAGAGCATTATGGGAACTCAGCAGGATCTTGAGTGGAATGGTAATTGTAGCCTGAAGCTGGATAAAGCCAGGCATATGGCAGTATTACCGTCACCCTTCAAGTAACCTTCAGAATGAGGAGATTCGGTGTTCAGAAGTGATGCAGTGGATGATGAGCTGGTGCCGGTGCGTTTCTGCTAGGGCACAGATACAGTGTGAGTCTGGCACGTTGTTAGCAGAGACAGAGATCTCCAACAACCAGAGGGCATCAGAATGAGTGGGGTTGGTTTGTTTTCTACCCCCAAATCAGCGTGAGCTCTGCACAAGTGCCTTGAAAGCAGTGAGACTTGTCAGATTCCACATGTGCCAAACACAGCCTGTAGGCAAGGGATATATATAACATCAAGACTGAGACAAGCCCAACGCTGCTAAAAATCAATGGGGGGGCAGGTGTTATCATACTTACATCCAAGGTGCTGGTGAAAAAGAAAGAAATGGAATTCATCTTTCTTTGTACTGGGAAACTTCACAAAGAGAACATGCAAAATTAAAAATAGACATCCACATGGCCAAAAAAAATAAATGCATTTTCTTCAGTAGAAATTTGGTCTGATAATCTGCCTCATGACAACAATGCTGCTTTGACAAGACGTGGCGGTGATCTCCTGGGGTGACCTGACAGCTTTCTCATCCCAGTGTCTCCCACTACAGCACATATTATAATTAGCACAAAAAGCCGCACTCTCTCTCAAACCAATTCTTAAGCAGAGTATAAATGAAAGACTCCTTAAAAGGCACATTGTGAATTATGTGGAATATCTTGATTAAAATAATGTAAGGTGCTGAGAAAAGACAAGCCATCAGCGAAAAATCCCCCATGATTCCCTGCTCCCTGTCTAGAGAACTATCCCTCTCCTTTGGTGTGGAATACTTATAGCTTCCCCTGTCTTTTAAAGGGATTAAACACTCTGCGGCTGGTAAAATTCCCGACAAGCTCCTTTAACCCTCTGGGGATATTTCAGGCATGAGACCAGGCTCTTTTCCTGGCATTCAGCTTCCATTATGTGGAGAAGAGCATCCAGAATATTAGCTCCCACTTCAGGAGGTGTCACCAGAACCCAGCTAATAGATACAGACCTATCATCTGTCTGCAAGAACTACGGCAACAACATCTACATACATGACTGCTAATATGAAGCCAATGGGTTAGGTGAAGCCCTAGAGGACACTGCCTGTGCACATGGCATGTGTTCAAACACGTAAAGAAACAGCCCAACACAGCAGGCAGATCAAAGTCACCCAACAAACCTGCACAGAGGACAAACGCTGGGGCAGCGGGACTCCACCCACGCAAGGCTGGGGACACAAAAGGTCCTAGAAGTGTGAGATGACAGCACTGTCCCCTGGGTCCGCTGAGCTGGCACACGCCACATTACAGTATAATGAATACATGGATGCAAGAATACTGGACAAATACAGACACAATCCTTATGATCTGATCCATGTTGAGTTACTTTTGAACCAATACAATCTTCATCACGTAAAAAGAGTTAATAATATGATTTAATGTGGTTAGTCTAGCTTTATAAATTATTCTACTGTCTGTAAATTTGGAATAATGTATATCTTCTATGAATTTAAATATTAATTGAAATATTAATAACAATCAATACTTGTAATCATGATTGCAAGCTTTGATAGATGACAAAAAATGTGAAATGAATAAGTCCCAACTAGGATTTGGGGAGGGGGGGCAAATTCCATACCATCTAAGTCACACTGGACAGGGTGGAGGACAGCTGGGTCACACTGTTCTGCTTCCTTCCTCTAAGGCCACCAGTGCTGATGTGGTTAGCACTCAACAATAGCCAGGTGGTCGCAAGTTCTGATTAGATTCCAGCTGGGCCGAGACTCTACCAGGAGATCCATGATCACACCAGCTGGGTCTGGAGACCGTTTAGTGAGTCGTCAGGGTGACTGGGGAGGGGCGAACGAGTAGCACGACGGACCCTCACGGCTGCTGGGGCAGCTGACAGCTATGCAGATGGACAGCTGGGGATGTGGTAGGGGTTGGGTGTTGGGGTTGGGTGTTGGGGTTGGGTGTTGGGGTTGGGTGTTGGGGTTGGGTGTTGGGGGTGTCACCTGTTCTGGTATTAATGAGAACTGGCTCAAGCCATCTGCGGATAACTGGCATCAGTCTCTCGGTTGACGCAGCAAGGACCAGCGTCGGCCAGCATATGATAGGTAGGATTCCAGAGACGTATGAGTCCAGCGAACGGCCCCTCCAGTAAAATGAAAGCAGAAGGAATAGCCTTTCGCTTTCATCTCTCCAGAGACTTCAGAAAATAGTTTTGTTTGCTCAACAGAGCTGGCACGTGAGAGAGCTGACGGAATGGATCGCCCCGTGGGTGAGCTCTTCCGCTACAGTGCACATCCCTCCGCTGATACATCCGATTTCCTCACACGCGCTCTTCGCTCACAGTGCCACTTCCTGACTCCAGCACAATCAGGGCGAAGGATGAACCAATAGCAACTGTGACTCTGTGAATTAATTTTCCCAGTGTCCAGGTCGCTGATCCTTTTCTCCTCCGAGTTTACAGCACGGTATTTAACAGCGTATACAAAGCCTGGTACATAGCATTAAATTTAATATCTGTTTATCCGGCTACACATGAAGCAACAAAGGGTCAAATTAACGACGCCTTCATCTCGACGGCAAATTTTTACGTCTGGTCCCTTAGCCGTTTCGCCAGCTGCTTCCCAGAAATGAGCTCAGTGGGATGCTGAGTGAATAAGGAGCACGTGAGGACGCCTCCTGGTGAAAGGCAGGTGGGAAAAAAAAGGCCAGAGCCCCAAGTGGACCTGCTCCTGTTAGCGCTGAAAGACATTTGATTTATGTCCCAGTGAGGAAACCCCTGAGCAGCTCGAAAGTCCCCTGCCGAGAGGCGGGAGAGTAGGTGACTCAGTCTGTGGTTACTTCATCCTCTACTGATACCGCATACGGCGTGGAGAATGCACAATCACTTCCAGATGGAGAGTGACGTTGCCTAAGCCCGTTCTCATACCCCCGTTGTAAAGTTACACAAAAGTAGGTCAAAGATGGAGGTAGACAGACACAGCTCTACGATTTTAAGAAATCTGCTGTTGCTTTACCTTCAATAGATCCATTAAGATGGGGTGGAAATCTGCCCGCCTATTAACACTTGAGAACTAGAATAGCTAGCCCCTATTGTGTGACATAATAGGCCTTTGAATTAGGAGATCACTTCAGACAAGGAGAAAGAATCTTCAAAAGGACCCTCTACATGTTTATTGAGAGATACAAACCCTCAATGCAATGGAATCATCTGGTTCAATATCATGACCTGAAGATTCCAAAAACACCAAGTAAATCAGCTTGCTGAAGACCCCCTGCCCAGCCGGCTCACCTTCCTTGTCGTCATGGCGCACGATGGCATCCTGGATTATGTCGGAGGTCCCAAAGCGCACCTTGGGTCTCCTCCTGGTTGGGGGCCGGGCCCGAGGCCTCGCCTGCCTCTGCAGGGCCCTCTCGCGCTCACAGTAGGCACGGACCTGGTCACAGCGCATGCGGCGCACCAGACGAAGGCGCTGGCCGAGAGGCAGTGACTCCAGCAGGCACTGGTCGATCTCCATGGCACGTGAGCGAAAGACGTTACATAGCTGAAAGCAGCCTGCCCAGGGAAAGGGGGAGAGAGGAAACGTGTGTATGAGAGCGAGAGAGAGAAAGAGTACAGAGAGCACTGGGTCAACCTTGGATGTAACGGATACATTCTAAGTAGGGTAAAAATGTTAGAAAAGTATGTCTAGGGGACCTAACAAGGAAGATCTACCAATAATAGCATTTTGACAGTGAAAAGAGCTACAAATAGAGACCACTTTGAATAAAATGCAGATAGTCTGCATGAGGGTATCCTGAGAACCTCAGGATCAGGTCCTGAGGACTGCTGCTCCAACACTGTGACGATACCTTACTTCCATCAGCAAGCCAGTGAGTTAAAGCCAGGATGAAGTGAACCTTATTCGAGAGCTTAACACACGAATAAAACAAATGAATCTGTAAAATCGGTACTAGAAACAAATGTAGTCACAGTCATTTGTAGTCATTATGGATCCTTAGAGCTAATAGCTACCCTGCTGAATGATACGGCTCAGAATATTACGATATGATCTGCACTAGAGCAGATATATTTAAATTATAATTACAATAATTCTGGTGGCCACTATAACATTGATGCATAAGCATCTTATTTCTGTACAGCTCTGCTTATTTACTGGGCAAGATTATGTTGCAATCAAGATGGAATCGTGAGACACAGCTCGCCAAGAGCTTCTGCGGTATCACACACAACTAGAATGAAATCGCAATCAATAACTGAATTTTTCAATGGATTGGAAAAAAAAACCCACTAACGTCATTCGAAAATGATTATGTAAAATCAAATTAGCACCTACTCAACATTTTTGCAAAGAAACTTCTTTCAGAAGTAACTGGCTGAGCGCATACCAAACCATTATCAAAATAAACCCCCCTTGTAGTCACACAACAAAACCCACGCAAATATGGCGTCCATTAAGAATCTGAGAAAAAAAAATGAACTGACCTTGATATGTTCCTCCATTACCCTTTTGCAAAAAAAGCAACTAATGTATTGGCAGACAGTGAAATGGCTGGCACTTGGGTAAATCCTTAGTTTTGAATAAAATTACAGTATTTTAAGAATTGGGTTTTCCTTCTGGAAATTTCCTAGAACTTTAACCAATGATGACAAGCTTTGAAATCCCATCTATTTCCCGGTCGGCCTTTCGGTGTGGCTCTCTTCCAAGCCGACAAGAAAATTGAGGCAATTTGTCCCCCTCCTGGTCTTCAAACATATGTTGAATACATTTCCATGACTGAGAGCCACATATTAATTCTATTTGAACCTGTCATCTTCGGACATTTCAGAAGTTCAAAATACAGAGGGAATTATCAGCATGTTTCAACACCCCATGCATGTCACCATTGCCAAGAAAAGAGGCTCCCAGAACCTTTACCCACAATCCTTTCATCACACCCTGATGTTCAACCACTAAATATGATTATTAATGTGACACCTTCATCTGCACCCTCTACCTTTGAGTGGAGGAGCAGGGTGGCCATGGAGCGGCCAGCTTCCTGTTGAAGCGATACCTACTCCCCCGTTCTCCTTGATGTGACTTTTGCAGGTCGCGAGTTCCCTCAGGTCTCACCCTGTGCCGAAACCTGGACTTGAGTCTGGGATGGGAGAGATGCCAGTTTTCAGGGAGTGCAAGTGCCAGGTTTGGGACGGCTGGCACAGAGCTGCTCTTCTCAGGCAGTAGACCTAGACCTCATAGGCTAACATAGAAAGGACTTAGAGTGTGACCCATGTACTAGGAACCTCCCAGTACTTTCCACTGACTGAATGGGACTCAATGGCAAAACCCAAGGGAACCATCCCTCTTGAGGCTTATAGCATGGTGGAAAGGGTCCATTCTTGAGCGGTCATGAATGCTGCTGGGTCCCCAGAGCTACCCAGGAAAATGGGAATCGATCTGTGAGGACTCAGTTTATGATTCTGTAGGGTCTCATTGCAAGCTGGCTACACACAAAACTGACAGCAAATAACCAGCTAAGACTAATGAACGGTCGGCTCCCGTCAATTGTGAAAATTTGCGCCGGAACATACTGGCACAACTAGAGATAACGGTTGACATACAGCCCAATCTGAGAGCTCAGTTTCACCAACTAGCCTCGATGCTGATTCAACATGCTGGATCAGCCAAAACAGCACCAACGGGGACCAACCATGTTCGACCGTGCCGGACACGACCGACGCAACAGTCAGTCATCGACTCTCATCAACAGCTTAACAGCTTTCGATGGCCAAAAGCCTGGTGTGTTCCAGGCTTAAGTCATGTGACAGGCCTCTGTTTTCAGGAGCCTAGTCATGTGACCTGTGACTGACATATGCAGGAAGGCTGCCAAACCTCCTACAGCTACAGATACCCCAACAGCCCTCTGTGAAATGCTCCTGCCTGCAGAGGGGCTGGTTAATACAGCAATACAGAGCACACAGGATTCTCACTCAAATAGCAGACCACAATGGACATTCGGCATATGGTCCTCCTCATTCTCTATGACCTTGTGACAGGGACTCGAAACAGACAAATCGTGTTATCGGCTCTCGACAGAGTCAACATTCCATGCCGCCATCTCTATGGCCATCTTCAAAGGAACCGGGGGAGGGGGATCAATCTGTTAGGGGCAAATTTGCCAGCTCTTGTCCACATTAATCAGATCCTGCTTTGATAGGGTTTTTGTTCACTGGGCCATCACATCACAGGTGGATTTTGGCCTGTTGTAGCTCATCAGAATCCATTGTTCAAGTCTGCATGGCACAAAGAACTGACCTGTAGCAACGTGGCTGGGAATAACTTAAATCTCACAGTGACCAATCACACACACGCACAACACACACACATGTCAGGT